GAGCCAGGAGGGGAGGTGGGGGGTGCTGATGAGGGTGTCGGATTGCTGTAAATGTTGCTGATTTTGGTTTGGAAAAACGAGAGGAAGGAGTTTCACTGTTCGGTGGTGAAGGATGAGGTGGCGTTGTCACAGGCTTTGAGAAGCTTGCTGATGGTTGAGAACAGACGCTTGGGGTTGCTGGAGCCAGACTGAATGAGTTGTGAGTAGTAATTAGACCGGGCTGCTTTGAGTGTGTTACTGTACTGCTGTAACATTTGACCTTTTTAGAGAAAAAGGTCAAATGTCACTTGTTTTGCATCAAAAAGGTTTAGCAAAAAAAACTCCACCTCTGAGGTGATTTGGGTGGAAATTGCCGTTTTTACCGTTTCTCTGGAACCCATTGGTCGATTTTGGTGATTGACATCTCTTTTTGACCGTTAGAGCCAATAGAATCGAAGGGTAATTTCCACATACACACACACTACCATTGAGAAATGAGAGCTATGCGGACACAGTTTTGCATGAGAGCGAACCTATCTCTCGCTCTGACATCTGGAAACGGAAAAGCAGGTTTATTGCTTATAGATTATCAGAAATCATTTCAAAGGGACACAGACACATTGGATTAACCTTCAGAAGCGTTTTTATCGTTTTAATGCCATTGAAGACCACTTTTGACCAGACAACGGCAAAGGTAAGCCATTTTGTCGTTTTTAGCTACCTAGCGCCACATGTTTTGATGTCTGTTCTTGTTAATATCTTCGCGAGTTCTTATCATGGAGTGATGATGTATGTACCGATCGATTCTGTGTATTCTCACGATGCTAATCGATGGGTTGGACGTGCAGCTACGATAAGTAATAAGGGTGTTATGAGTGAGTTTCTGTGCAGTAATGCTCTAGCATTTTCCCACTCATGGCTAATTCAGAGGCAGAGCGTTAGCTTTGTTTGTTTTTTTGAAAAAATAAATAAAAATGATCAGTTAGCTGAGGTTCTTCCCGTTACATGGATATAAAACATTCATAGTTTATTGAATATTAAGAAACACTCAGACGCTGTTTCCTGCAGATGACGCGTTTTTCCCCCCGGTGTTGGGGTAGAACAGGTTAAGTGTAATTTGGCTTGGCTTCCTATTTTTTATGGACATGCTTTTATTTTGAAGGAGAGTTAGCGCTGTTGACAGGAAGTTGTTGTTGCTATGGAAACATTGTGATGGAGATTAACGGAGAAAAGTCATATCTACATATAAAGATGGAGAAAGTAAACGATAAAGTGTATGGTTAAGTGTAATTACCCCCTGAAGTGGCAAAAGCTCTTACGCTGATATTGGAGATTTCAATAAATTGAAGAAAAAAAAATACGAATAACGAAATTGAAACCCGAATAGTACTCCAACGAACGAATATTCGGATATTCGGGTACAGCCCTAGTACAACTTAAGATAAAAATGAACACATAATTAAATATGAACCCCGGTTTGATGATTGACAGGTCACAGAACAATGGGAGCTATCTACCCTTACCCACAATTTAAAGTAGGTCACACAGACTATCTCCTCTTTACTCTTCTTTGTTTGTTTTTCACTTAGTTCAGCTGTCAGAACTAAGTGAAAAACAAACAATGGCATAAAATATTATTAATATGTTGGGTAGTAATAGATTTCTTTATTTTCTTCTCAGAATGTACCAGAATGCGAACTTTATATGTTAGTATTTCTAAAAATCTCTTCCAGACCCCCTTCTGGGGTTGGGTTTTCAGCATGTGTGCCTTTTTATGTTATACAGTTCAGCTTTGATTCCATCATCTCATTAAACCTTTTTTAAAAGCATACTTTAGTTCTGTGAAGGGATATAAGGGATATATGTACTTCACTTTAATTACCGGTAATAATATATGCAGAAAAGCGTATATATATATATTACAGCACGATTTTTTGTTGAATATATTTGAGTGGTTGTTGTCGGGTCGCGATTTATTGACAAAGGAAAAAGTGGGTCCCGAGGCCTGACCAGTTGAGAACCACTGCTCTAGGGGAAATATGTTTTTAATATTGTTTGTTTGAAAGCCAACAAACTGTCTTCTTTAATAAACTGGTCCACAACAGTATTTATGTGTAAGAAGTGTGAATTATAATTATAATTAGTGGGTTAAAACCTGGTTGTTACAGTTTCCGATGATGAGTGCATCTGCAAGCACAAGCTGCCCCACCACCATGCCTTGCTCCAGCGGGGGCACACTGCCCTCCTGCAGACGGTTGCTGTTGACAACCACAGAACTGTTGTCGTTCAGAACTACCACTGGATCTGCCTGTTTGGTAAAAACAGAGAAAAACAACAATGACCCACAACAGGCAACTCCTTCCAGCCAGATGAAATGTTGCATTAATGGGTTACCATCAGTAACAAACCATCAGTCTTGCTCTGTAACAGGTTAAACAGTTATGAGATATTAAGATAGGCTAAATACAGAATTAAAGAAACCTCAGGAAAATCTAATCAAACATGGATAATAAAATAGACAACATTGACAGTTTCATTTGGAGGTCACTTACCTCTACAAAAGCTGCCACTTCCTGTAGAACCAGGTTCCATTCCAGCTGGTCCTCTGTGTTAAACCTCTGTGTGTAATCTTCAATTTCCTCAGATAACTCCTGCAGGTAGCAAACACACATATATTTCAAAGAAGGTCATGAACAGCTACAAACACAAACACTTATTTTATAGTTTTAAAGTTGGACTTCTGCTTGACTCACAAAGTAAGATCTAGTACAGGTTCCATGACAGTCTCACTCGCCCAGTATTCTAAATGTCTAAAGTGGAGCCTGCAATCAGAGTTTGGCTTTTGAAGCCAGTGTATTTGTTTTGATGTCTGACTAAGAGAAACACTCCCCACATTCTCTCTTCTCTATGAACAACAGACGTTTGGTTTGATCCACTTGGCAGAATGAGCCGCACATGCTGGGCTGTAATGAGGAGGGAGGGGGGTTTAATGGGTGAGGAGTTTCTAGTGTCACATGAGGAAGAGAAGGACAATTCTTACTTAATTACCCAAATTTAATCTGTCAGTTCTGTCCTAGCCACAAGCTTAAAGTTAGCATGGACCTCCACAGCATTGGCAAATGTAATGGCCCCCTCCACAGCAAAGGACCCCCAGTCCCATTGATGGGGAAAGATAATTCCCCAATCTAAGCAAGTACTTTCAGTGTTTCCTTATCTTTTTTGCCAAGTGGATACAACTTGTCTCCCCACTGCCACTTCCAACACACACAGTTGAAAGTGGAGGTAAAGACCACTGGCCCTACCTACCTATTAACAGAGCACACACACCTGGAACAGCTCACTTCAACCCTGAAGGAAATCAGGACCCTCTCAATAAAACCTGCTCTCCTCTCCTGCACCACAGCAGGCTACTGCTCGTTACAGCAGCCTGGTAGACCCCCACAGCAGCCTGGTAGACCCCCCACAGCAACTGGAAATGATCAAATTGCACCATGTTCTTTCTTCTGTGTGTGTTTCATTCCTTTCTTTTCTGTTATTTGTTAGTATTACTGATGTTTGTTGCAACTGCACTGGTATCCCCTGTGGTAAATGATTGTGTGTGATTTGTTCCATTTACTTTCCAACATCCTTTTGGCTGTCCATATCCCGTAGTGAGACACTGAAAGGAATGATTTGAATGATGAATGATATCAAAAGATGCAGGAATGTGTCCATTCTCCTCAGGAGTTTTCATCACTTAGCATGCTATAGTTAAGGGAAACTGTATGACATACCTTAACCAAAACTTTGACTAGGTCCATCTTGTTCAGCAGTAGACAGACGACTATGTAGCGAGCATAATATCGAAGCTTCTTCACTACTAACTCCGGCCTGAGGGAAGATAAGTCAATATTACATTTAGATCTCAGACAAACCCACGTTAAAGAACACCAACATTTGTATTTCTTCGTTGACACTTTCCGACGTCTGAAGATTACAAATAGTTGTTTTCCGGCACAAACCTGATCATCTTAGTTTGCCATAAATATATGATTTAATCATCAACAAACCCCAAGAGCACATCCAAACCAACATCAAATGTATCAACTTCAAATGAATGTGTATCATTCCTGATATATACTACAGTGGCCAGTTGTTTCAAGAAATTACTTTTCTAAAATCTACTTTTACATTCACGACATCTTTGATAGGAACCAACACGAAGAAAACATTCAGCTTGATCAGTTTGTTTTTTCTCTTCTTCTATGCTTTCTTCTATATATTATCTATTCGTTTTATTTCTCAATTTGTACTTCCATTTCATTCATGGATTCACCTCTATTCCTGTTTCCTTTCCTTTCTTCCTTTCCTAGTTGGGATTTAGGAGCCGTTTCTTTTCATAATTGTTGTAGACAGGTGTTTGAACTCTTGCTCAACTTATAAGGGTTGAGTTCTTTCCTGCAGGTATGTATGCATGTGCAGTATGACTTTATGTAAACCTTTATAACATGAGATGTGTGTATATTTTGAATCACAAAAACAGTCAACTTTCAAACAATAAATGTCCAAGCTGTTTACTGTAAACTAGGCAAAGACTTATCTACTTCCTGATATTGAGACTCACAGCATTTTAAGTACATATTGTATACATATTATATAAATATATATACATATTGTAAAAATGTACCTGTCCTCTTTGTTGACCTGGAAGTAGTAGGAGCGCTGGCGGATGGCTGAGTAGAAGGAAAAGGCCTCGTTCAGGTAACTCGTTTCTGAGGTACGAAGGCTGTCAATCAACATCAGAAAGGTGGATTACTATCTCTGTGTAGCACTCCCATTTCAAATACATTCATTACATTGCAATCACTCTCAGCTGAGTGTTTTTTCTACCACAAGCTCTTCACTAAGCCAGCGTCAGTGGTGGTGTTAGAGGATCTGAAACTAAATGAAATATGAATAGTGAATATGCCAATAATGTGTCATCAGAGCAGGGCTGTATTGTGGAAGAAATTAAGAGGGAATGGTTTTTACTGAAGTTATGTTCCTAAGGTAAAGCTAATAGACCCTGTAAATGCAATATGAAAATTACAAAGACAATGGAGAGTATATTAGGCATATTTTAAATGTACTGCCACTTACAACAGAAGATGACTTTGGAAAATGATCTTCTCCGACTGCCTCTTAGTTCAAACAACTAGTGGCCAGTTAAAGTTCCAAAACCCGCCCCTTACAATCTCTGATAACCTATAGAACTCAGTGAGTTGGCCATGATGATATGCTGAAGAGAAATCATTGTTTATACATTAACACATTTTATTTAGGTTAATGTCTGTATATGTCAGAAAAGTGGACAGTACATGCAGGGTCGGCGTCATGGGGGGTCATTCGCGGGCCATGCCCCCCCCAAATGAGTCACTGTGCCCCCCCCAACGCAGGGCGGGCAAGCCTTGCCACTTTGCAGTTTTCTTCTTTTTGTTTTAAAAATCATATAAGTGAAAACGTTTCCACTAAAAGTTTTTTGTGTGAAATAAATCAGAAATAAAGAATACAAATATAAAACACAGCATGAGGTGTGCTCACTGCTGCTCTCTGATTGGTGTGTTGCTTGACCAATGACCCCCGACCTTTGTTATCATTACGTGGCTGTGTCTTTAGACAGGGTTGCCAACTCTCACGCATCTGGCGTGTGACACACGCTTTCACTCTCAATCTCACGCTGCCCAAACTATTCTCACGCCAAAAACAAGATGAACCGGCGATCGTTTTTGGTTGGATATTTACAATGTTGAGTTGACAGCTGCTCAAGCGGTCGTTCCGTCCCCACCACTCTTAACGTTAACAGCCAGCAGAGCAGTGGGAGCCGGTTGGTCAATCCCCGACCCGTATTGCGCATGCGCAGATCTAAGATCCAGTAGAAATGATAAA